AAATTCAGGAAAAATATTCAGTTAGGCTTCCGCTTTTCCAAATCCGAATTGCCGGGCCTTACGCTTGACCCCTGCCATCAGATTTTGTACAGCCACCTTGTCCACCTTCTTCGCCGCAGAAAGCCAGTTTGCCTTGAACTGCTGCTCGCCCTTAGCAGTTTTTTGGTCTTCTTTAGGTTCCGCTTGACAATAGCCCAGTATTTCTCAATTGGGCGGAGCTCTGGCGTGTTGGGAGGGTTCTTGTCCTTGGGAACCACCTGCACGTTGTTGGCGGCGTACCACTCCATGGCCTTTTTACCGTAATGGCAAGATGCCAAATCCGGCCAAAACAGTACGGAACAACCGTGTTTCTTCAGGAAAGGCAGCAGACGTTTATTCAAACACTCTTTCACGTAAATTTCTTGGTTGACAGTCCCGGAATCTATGAAAATGCTGCTTTTCAAGCCACAGGTACAGATGGCTTGCCAAACCAGATATTTCTTTGCGAACTTTGACAGTTTCATGTGCTTGAAAACATCTGCTACCTTTCCCCTTCCTTTTGCCGTATAAAACTCCTGTCCCGGAAGCTGCTTGTAGTCGGCTTTGACGTAGGTTTCGTCGTCCATTACCACGCAGTCAAACTTCGTCAGCATCGTCGTGTACAGCCTCCGGGATCGCGCTTTGGCCGTCGTATTTTGTTTATCATCGCGATTTGGAGTCACTACCTTCTTGTAAGTCGATAGTCCGGCTCGTTTTTTGGCTCGATGCACGGTTGTAGACGATACACCCAGCTTATTTGCGGCATCTCGGAGAGAGAGGTTAGGGTTTCGCTTGAAACTACCGGCAACTCTCTTTGTCGTCTCAGCGGCTTCCGGTTTTCGATTTCCCCCCGATCCAGACTTCCTGGCTGTCGACAAACGTTCCCCAAACACTTTAATTACATTTGTAACGGTTGATTTGGCAACTTTTAGCGATTTTGCCAACTTTGCGTGCGAGTAGCTCGGATTTTCGCGATGCGCGAGCAAAATTTTGATACGCTGCTCTTCTTGCTTGGACGGCATTTTGACAACTGAAGAGTGAATTCCAAAATCAAAATAGGAGCAACATTCTACACACACACACCTTCAAAATGAGGGGTGTTCAGGTTTTTTAAATGCAAAATTGAAAGAAATACGTCAAGTTGATATTGACCAAATTTTGACCGTATCACCCTTTATAACGGAATTCAAAGGAAATAAACCAACTCAAAGCTCCTAATAATAGTATATTGCTGTTTTCGTCCTTGCACTTGGCTTGTACTCCAGCAGTGCTGCTAGCCATTGGGCTGGCACCGTCAAAATATACTGCCATCACCTGCTCCCAAGAAATCTGCATCGCTGTCAGGACCTCAGCTTTAGTATTGAAGATGGTCGTCGCGTCTGTTTTCAACACCCGTCTCACACCCACGAATGTTTCCGTCGGTCGATCAATATACCTGATGACAATCGCCAACTCATACATGTCTTGCAATGAGCACTCATACATATAGTTTTCACTGGAAATCCTATGTATGAGTGCACATTGCAAGGTTATTACATGATGTAAGCCATAGTCTGTACGAAGTTTTATATGCTGTTTTAGTTACACTTTACTATTACCGTTGCGAGTACGTTGAACTTGGTCATCAGCAAAAATGGTAGTTCTAATTTTTTTCAAATTTTGACCTAAATGCCAAGGCTAATAGGTTCATTAAAAAGGTTTAAAAAATATGTAACGATTGGAACGATTGTTAACGGAATGACGAATTGTGCGAAGGATTGAGCATGTCAACCCTGTCCCAAGTACCGCTAGTCGGGGTGACAGGAAATGAAGCCGAACATTCAACATGTTTTAAAGATGATATAAAGGACAATCCCGAATTTATTGCACATAAACAGGTGTAGCTTTTTAACAATGGTAACAAATGACAAAAAAAATTAGAGAAGATTCTTAGACTAATTCTTAGTAAGACAAAAATATACCAAGGTTCAATGGCAAACTAATACCCACTTTTCAATTAGGGAATCCAAAAGCTGTCTTTAATCTTTGTACAGTTGCGAAAAAGTCCATCCTCAGTTTTTTTTTCGAAATTTTTAGAACTCTATGAGCTCTTTTGAAATTCATCTCAGAAGTCCACTGGAATTACGCTTAGAACTCTTAAAGATTTTTTCTCAGAACACTTTAGAACTCAAATTCCTTTAGAGTTTCAGAATTTTTTCCCGGAATGAACTAGAAATTATCCTCGGAATTCGCTTGAACTTTTGCGTAAAATCCCTTTAGAATTTCACTCAAAATTTTATTTTCTCGATATTATTTTCGAAATTTATCTTAGAACTATCTGCAGGATGCACTAGAAATTATCCGTAGAATTTTCTTTGATTTCTTCCCAGAAATATTTTGGAACTGTCCTAAGAATTCAATATCCTTGAGGTTCTTCTCTGAATATTTAAGAATTTTTTTTTCTCTGAACGCAAACAATACAAACTTGCCACCAGAGAATTTTACACCAGAAAATTTCAACTGACCAGAACGATGCAAATTTTCCACCGTTAATGTTCAATACAATTTGCTTCTCCAATCTTCTGATTGGAGCAGATTTCCTTTTTCCATTTTCCACCAAACATTTTAAATATAGCTGGCTTCTCGTATCATCAGAATGTTGCAGGTTTTCCACCAAATAAAGTTTGCCCCTATTTTCGGATTTTTTAAACATAAATTTTCAGTAAAGCAGCTTCCCTCCAATTATCAGAATGATGCATATGTTACACGAGAAATTATTATAAAAATTTGTTTCTCTATTCAGCAAAAGAATGCAAATTTAAAAACAAAAAAAAATCCGAAAAGCTTGCCCATCCGTTCACCAGAACGGTGCAGATTTTCCACCAGAAATTTATAATTTAGCTTAATTTTAAATAAAGCTTGTGCCTTCATTTACCAGGCTAGTGCAAGTTTTCCACCAGAAATTTTCTGTTCATTTCATTAAGGGCCTGTTCATAAACTACGTAGACAGTTTTTTGGGATTTTTGACCCCCCCCCCCCTTCCCACTGCGTAGACAATTGTCCATACAAAATTTTTAAAATTTGTATGGGCCGTGGATAATTGTCAACCCCCCCCCCTAAACTGTCTACGTAGTTTATGGACAGCCCCTAATTAGAGCGGTGCAAATATGCACCAGAAATTTTCAATAGAGCATGCTCCTCCATTCACCAGAACGGTGCACCAAAAATTGTCAGTGAAGTTTGTTTCACCATGCACCTTCAGGCTTTGCCTCTTCAATTTTCCACCATACATTTTCAATTAAGCTTGCATTCATCAGAACGATGCAAATTATGCACCAGAAAAATTAATAAATCTTGCTATTACATTCACCACAGTGTTGCGAACTTTCCACCAGAAATTTTTCAGATAAATGTGCACCTCCAAATTTTTAGCGCGATTCAATTTTAGAACCAGAGTTATTCATTTTGATTAGTTAGATGTTTTTACACCAGAAATATTCAATTAAAAGCTTTTTCTTCGAATTTACTTCACGAAGGTGATTTTTTTCAACCTTAAATTTACCCTTTTCTTTTAACCCTCCATGAACAACATTGAAAAAAAAAAATTACACCAGGAATGTGGTGCAATTTATTAACCAAAAAATTTCATTGAAGTTTGTCCCTTCATGCACCTTTGTGGTGCAATTTTCAGGCAATATATTTATTTATAAAAGGTGGGGCAACTGCCCCACCTTGCCCCACCCTGTGCACGCCAATGCCCAGTCAGTTACCAGAACCTGATATTGCAATTTTTCAGTGTACCACATGGCAACACTACTATTGGACTGTACTGGCATTTTCATCAAATGTACTAGAATGTTTTGATTCTATCTATATACTCAAAACTGAAATGCATAGAAAATGACCAAATCTAGATAGAGCTAGAATTAGGGCGTAACAGCCTTTGTAAACAATGACTTCTCTTGTTGATTTCTCGTAGTTCAAGGCACGCCTACACAAACCAACATATCCAACGGGTAGGAGAAGTCTTCCTCTACTCGATGGTGATGTCGTTTTGCCAGGGCGAGCCATGACTTCCGAGATATCATCGAGAGAAGTCATTGTTTACAAAAGCTGTTACGCCCTAATTCCAGCTCTATCTAGAAATGATACACTCTTTGCACACTGTCAAAGATCGTTGGACACAAAATCAACTTTGTTGAAATCAAAACAAAACTACTAGCCCATCTGGTGGCTGATGGCACAAGCTTCTAAGGCTCTGAACCATTTGGTGGATTATTTTAACTTGTGGTTAAAATTTGACAGATGGAAAGTTATCGATAAACTCTGCTATCCGAGCGTGGTTATTTCTGACAGACAAGAAGTTAAATGTTGACAACCGTGGCTGAGTTCTTCTCGGAAACCGGTCGATCGACAGCACAGGGATTTTCGAACATAGAAAATAACTTTCGAAACGTCACTTTTAACCACGAGTTTAATTTAGCTCGAAATGGTTCACAGACTAAGAAAATTCTATTACAGCGAACCACATTATTTTAATAGATTGTGAATATCAGTTTTGATTACTATTGTGTATTATTGCTGAATGCATGAGTTATTTGTTTGATAGGTCGAAGTGAGGGGTTAGGTTGACATTACATCCCGTAACCCTATGTTTGTTGAACAAAAATTCGTTTCGTTTTGTATAGAGCTTAAAAAATCTCATATCGCATACGCTTACTTTCCAGAACGCGATATCTTGAATGTATGGCACTTTCCATTATTGAGAAAACATCTAGCTACTCTGAAGTATTCCAGCAATCATCGTCGTTTATATTGATTTCCCTTCGAACATTCTTAAACGGATTCGAAAACCTGGACCTGGTTCATGTGGTTGTTCACTGAATGACTAAAATTAATGTTTTATATATAAATATAGGTATTTATTGGAAATAATTATCTTCCCAACATACATTTATTTCTCTTCAGACATTCATTCTCATCGAATTAAAACAACCACCCATTTACAGAATTTCAGCATTGAAACGGACGCAAGCCAGAGTAATGCCACCATCACCGATCAGATCGACCTGCAGCTGGCCAAAGACGCCCCGAGCAGGAACTGCCACGGAATTTTCAATCACAGCGTAATCGAATGGAACTCCGGCAACAACGGGGCCTCCGCCGATAATTCCACCAGTGTTGACAATTGGGATTTGGTAAGCAGGGCCTACACCGGAAACGCGGGCCCCTATGCTAGCTGTAACAGAGCTGCTTCCGATCGGACTGACGATTCCACTGGCCAGGGCATACAGCGGTTGTCCGGCAACCAGGATGCATACGTTTCCGGTGCAGTCGTTCACGGTTAGGCTGGTTGGCGCAGGAACTCCGTTCGGACCTAAAGGGAAAAATAACAATCAAAACAAGTCACTATGGTAACGACTAAAGGATAACTTACAGGCACTGAAGCTGATGGTAGCCATGGCCATGGCTGGCACCAAAGCGGCAACGAGCAAGAACTTGAACATCTTGGCTACTTGGATCTTCTGCCTTATACGAGTCGTTGACTTCTGAGAAACTAACAATTTTGTCCACCTTTGGCAGTCGCATTTATATCTATCGCACGTGGGATAATCAACAGTAGCTTTTACCGGAAAGTCGGCGAGTGATGTGATAAATGAACTTTAAATCACTTGGGTCGTCATAAAGTTTTGGCGCCGTGTGAAATAGTTGAAAACACGTATGCTGGTATGTGTGTGAAAAACACTCCCCACCTTATCACACTTAACAAGCGAAACGGAAATGTTGATCAACAAATTTCGATAGCTCTTCCGTATCTCTTACTGTCCAGACAGTAAACAAACAGTAAACAGTAGTGAAAATTTTTCCAGGTCACTAACTCATCCAAATATGCTTATCGCATTTCACTGGTAAAGCGAATTTGTTTGTTATTTCTGTTCAAAACTAGCGGCAGAACTTAGAGCACACATAGTGTGGAACTTAACTCGCGCTTGGTCGTAAACAGGCAGTGAAATTTTCCAATATTACCAGCAGTCATAACATCCACATTGACGTCGTTGGTACTTTACCTCCTACTTCGGCCTTCCCTCATGGTTCCATGTGGAGGCGAAATTGGATCAAACCGTGGAGCCTCCACAGAGAGGATGGCAGGTCGGCACCGAGTAATTGAATAGCATGTGTGAACAGAAATAGTCCCAACTACGGTCTTGATCTCGCATGGTCTAGGAAAAGTTTTTCCGACGCTGAAATAATATCAATCATCTCCAACCCAAACGGTCATGATTGATCAAAAACAGCTTCTAACAACATTCGAGAATCCTCCACCTCCACAGCTCAATCCGCGTCTCTGATAAAATTGCGCCTTTGAAAATCGTTCCGCATGGGCAATGCAAGTCAATAAATCATAACACCTCGAATGCCCCCGATAATGACACACATATCGAGACGGACAGTCGGATCTAGCCGGTGACGGTGAGTCGCGGATAATTTTGGCACACCTGGTCAACCAGAAGATACCGATCGCATTGCATTGCGATAAGACCAAATGTGGTCACTCCTGTCGCTATATAACCTCGGGTTCGGAATTGACGAGGTCAGTCATCTGCTGCTTCAACAGATTCAGAAAAAAAAAATCATCAAAATGTATCGCTCTCTAGCTCTGGTAGTGCTTCTATTGGCGGTCGCCTCGGCCCAAGACCTCCATACGCATCCTTGCCTGGGAGGACTCCCGCATCCGAACTGGGTTCGCATCGAGGGGTGCGAAAACATGCCCTGCAAGCTGATCCGCGGACAGGATGTCAATATGTGGATGGAATTCACCGCCTGTGAGTATTCTAACATTCACAGTTAACGAAGCGAACTAGCCTAATACGGGTTCTGTGTCCGACAGTGTCCAGCTTCGAAGGTCTCACCACCAAGGTTATGTCAACGGTTGGGAACGAAATCAACCTGCCGTACCCGCTTCCATCGGATAAGGCCAACACTTGCAACTGGTTGGTGAACACCCGGTGCCCGATCGACTACAGCGAGGACGTCGAGTACCATCTGAACTTTAACGTGAGCTTCCTCTACCCGGAGGTTCCGGATCTGAAGCTGGAAATTAGCCTGGTTGACAACTACAACCACGTGCAGTCGTGCTTCGTCGTGGATACGAAGGTTGTGTCGGCGTAACTTTTCAAGACTGGAATAAATTAGAATGTGATTAGTTTGTAAGGCGCATCAAAGTTAATTGTGTTCTCAGAATTTGGTCATCGATGACGGTGTTTACTCAGTAGTCTGGTTAGTAGCGAACACCTGTTCAACCCGGTGGCACTTGAGATAGTTATCTTGTTATCAGCGTGCGCTCATAAAAGTCAAGGGGAATGCAGTTTTGAAGGGGAGATTTTCCCGCACCTGATAGTGGCACTAAATGGGCGTGAACGAGTCTTGCAACTTAGTTTTATCAACTCGGTCGGCTTGTTAGACGGCAAACTATTTAAAGCCATCCGTATGATTGTCGTACATCACTGTTAGTTGACGGTGGAATCACGTAGCAAGATGAACAAGTGTCTACTAGTTGTGGTGGCGGTTCTTCCGCTAGTGTTCGCCGACGTAGTCCCCGTCAAGGAATGTGAGATAGCCGACCACTGCAGCTTGCGAATTCTTCCTAACCACGTCATTTTTCAGGTAAGGCCGGATCGTTGCCAGTCGCCGTTGATATCCAGGGATGCCAGAAACTGCCGTGCGAATTGAAACGAGGTGAGGATGCGGTGGCCTTCGTGGACTTCAGCACCGGAGAAGAGGTGGCCAGGCTGCGACCGGATGTCTATGCTACGGCTCTGGGAGTGACGGTGCCCTTCATTATGCCACCGGATCGGCAGGACGCTTGCGAATGGTTGCAGGGCTCCCGTTGTCCACTGTCGGCTGGGGAAGATGTGCGGTACGAGCTGAGGTTGCCCGTCGAGAAGGCTTATCCAGCGTTGGCGGTGGATGTGGAACTACGGCTGGTCGATCAGGACGATCAGATTGTGAGCTGCTTCAGCGTACAGGCTAAGGTGGTGTGAGAAGTGCGTGCTATGTTGATTCAATAAATAAGGTTTATTCTATAACTATTTGATGAGTTTTTTGCAATGGAAATGTATCTAGATAATGGTAAATTATTGTTTCTATAACAGATTTTCTAATAATTGATGAATTATTCAAGATTTGGAACAATTGGAAAGTGCCGATTTGTCAATCTGAAGAAAATTTGACAGGTGAGCAAGGCTGCGTTTAGTAAAAATGATCGTTTGTTGTTCATTAAGGATGAGTAATGAACATTAAATGTTGAATTTTGTCAGTGCAATGCTAGTCAATAAGGTAGAGGTAGCTTGATCCATCAGATAGTGTAGTAAATTTGTATGAATGTGTGTTTTAAATGGATCTATTTGATTTTAAAATAACCGACTCCGACTCCTCATCTCCGAGTCCTTGACTCCAAATCCTCGACTCCGAGTACTCGACTCCGACTCCCCGAGTCGAACTCCTGTAAAATGTACTTCAGTGAATTTCGGTTGAATAAGTATTTAACCTTATTACGGTGTTCGGGTCAAAATGCCCCGAATCGCACTTTCAAAGCGTCATAACTTTTGACGGTATAAGTGCTAGCGTGTTTGCTTCGAGAATTTTTTAGATTATCGTGGTTTTAGCGGTTTTAGTTCCCATTAAGGCTCTGAACCATTTGGTGGATTATTTTAACTTTTGGTTAAAATTTGACAGATGGAAAGTTATCGATTAACGCTGCTATCCGAGCATGGTTATTTCTGACAGACAAGAAGTTAAATTTTGACAACCGTGGTTCGAAAACCGGTCGATCGACAGCACAGGGATTTTCGAACATAGAAAATAACCTTCGAAATGTCACTTTTAACCACGAGTTAAATTTAACTCGGGAAATGGTTCACAGCCTAAATTGTTGAAAAATAATGACAGGTAGTGTTCGTGAGTGTTGTGCAGTTTTCTCCGTTGTCAAACTCCCCGGTAGGCAACGATAGCACAGCTTAACCGTATTCTCAGCAATCTAGCCCACCTAAACTTGCAGAACCCGCAACCAGATGGACGAACAACTGCCTGTTGGAAGGCGATAGAGATGGCCGTTTTGAATGGACGATAACGGGCACTCAACTTCCAAATTAAAAATCACTGATCGTAAGACCACCAGTAAAAACGATTGATCATAGCAAGCTAGCTAAATTTAATTTGAACAGTGAACCAACTTTCGAAAGCGGAAATTAATAGTGGAAACCATAGCTAACAGTAAAAAGTGTGAGGAGAGTGACGGATAGAAGGACAGCAGCTGTATTTAGGCTGTGAACCATTTGCCGAGTTAAATTTAACTCGTGGTTAAAAGTGACATTTCGAAAGTTATTTTCTATGTTCGAAAATTCCCGTGCTGTCGATCGACCGGTTTTCGAGCCACGGTTGTCAAAATTTAACTTCTTGTCTGTCAGAAATAACCATGCTCGGATAGCAGGGTTAATCGATAACTTTTCATCTGTCAAATTTTAACCAAAAGTTAAAATAATCCACCAAATGGTTCAGAGCCTTAGTACAGATCCACTGTACTGTGAAGTTCGTAGGCCCAGGACGTGTAAACCAGTGCTCGCTACCCCGCCAGCCCGTACAACTACAGTAAAGGCCCACGCACATTAGATCCGGATCGGACGCGTTGCGGCAAAGTGACAGCTAAATCTATTGTCTAACTGTCAAATTTACGTCAACGCAACGCAAACGGATCTAATGTGGGTGGCCCTTAAGCGCGCAGGATAAACAAAGAGGAAGTAGGGAGGAAGCGGTCGACGAATGAAGACACGTGGTGGAAATGCTGCGAGGGGGCCCAATGAAGAAAGAAGGTTAGAGGTTTCTTCAAATAACGAAACTAAATGTTGTATTAGTATGATCAAAAAGACATATCTCAATACAAGACACATAAGCAGGACAAACGTGGTTGTAAAAATTTTCCAGATCATCTTGGAGATTCTATTTTGAAGTTCTGCAGATTCAACAAAGTATTATACGATATCCCAAAATAGTAAACAATGTCCTGATCGAATTTTGGATTCCGAGTTCCATTAAGCCCAATAGCATTCTGAAGGATACATAGTTATGTTGAAAAAATATCACTAGTTCTACAAATTGTAAGTAACGGCTAGCTCGAACCGGATACGCTTACCTATATCTCAAGGCCGGCTGTTCGGTGGACTCACAACCCGCTTAATAGCGAATTCGTTTATTATCGGGGTTAATACCAGTTCCAACCCAGTGCGAAACTGAAATTTTTGTCAACCTGAGCTAGGTTTTAAAAACACACGAGCAAACTGACGTTTGTCAGAAAGCAAACAGATAATCTTTTTTTTTTTTTTTAATTGCGTTTATTTTTCCAGGCTCATTTGCCGTAGCTTTGCGGAGCCGATATTCATTGTTTGGATGACAAAATTTCTTAAAACTAACGTTAGTAAAGCGGGGGCCGATTACTCGCGGCTATCTCGAGGTTAGGGGTAACAAATTGTAACAAATGGATGGCAGGGTAGGGATTGAGAACACAAGGTTTGGAGAGCAATGTGCTTTTTATCTCGAACTAAGCGACCAACTGACGAAAAAGACAAACATGGGGGTACACCGATGGGCAGCTAACAACTTGGGGGAACACAAGATGACACTAAATACTAAATCCTCAGATCGATCCGTTTTAAAAACACATAAATTAAATTAAAATATTCGAGATCTCGGCTCGCCAAGATGTCTCTAACGGGCCGCATAGGATGTTTTCCTCGGGCCCTGAGGGATGCGGATAACTCGGATCTAGCAACACAATGTAGGGTGCATGACCAAAGCACGTGGTCGATATCGTGATAGCCACTACCACAAGCGCACAAATTGCTGCCTGCGAGCCCGATTCGGAAGAAATGCGAGTCTAACGAGTAGTGATTGGACATGAGCCTTGATATGACACGTATAAAGTCACGGCTCATGTCCAATCCTTTGAACCATGGCTTGTTCGACACCTGTGGGAGAATAGAATGTAACCATCTTCCCAGATCACTCTCATTCCATTTTTGTTGCCAGTTGGTGAGGACGTGCTGACGGGTAATTGAGAAAAATTCCGCAAAGGCGATTTGTCGATCAAAAATATCGCCTTCCATAGCGCCCACCTTAGCTAGCGAGTCCGCTTTCTCATTACCCGGAATTGAGCAATGAGATGGGACCCAAGCTAAGGTGATAGTATAGGAGCAGTTAGATAAAGTACTCAATTTTGCTCGGATTTCGGTCAGGAAATACGAGGAGTGCTTCATCGGCCTCATTGATCGAATAGCCTCCAACGAGCTAAGGCTATCAGTAAAAATAAAATAGTGATCAGATGGTAGTGAGGCAATTTGCTCTACTGCGTAAAATATGGCTGCTAGTTCCGCAACGTATACGGAACAGGGTTTTTGCAGTTGATATGAGGCGCTATGAAATTCGTTGAATACTCCAAATCCAGTGGAAGCGTTTATAGTTGACCCATCTGTGAAAAAACTCTTATTGTTACTAACATGGTGGTACTTGTTTGCAAAAATTAAGGGAACAACCATCGATCGATGGTGATCTGGTATTCCACGGATTTCTTGCAACATGGTCAGATCAAAATTTACAGAGGAACTATAAAAGTCTTGGAGGCAAACACGAGAGGAATTGAATGAAGAAGGGCCAATCTCCAGCGTCATGTACTCGTAATAGAGACTCATGAATCTTGTTTGAGGATTTCTGTCGAGCAGCTTCTCAAAGTTTTCTATTACCAATGGGTTCATTACTTCACAACGGATAAGAAACCGGAAGGACAGTTCCGCGAAACGATCTGTCAGTGGGAGAACACCCGCAAGTACTTCGAGGCTCATCGTATGCGTCGAGTGCATACAGCCAAGCGCGATTCGGAGGCAACGGTATTGAACCCGTTGCAGCTTCAGGATATGTGTTTTCGCCGCGGATTGAAAGCAGAAGCTTCCGTACTCTAGAACCGACAAGATGGTTGTTCGGTACAACCTGATCAGATCTTCCGGGTGTGCTCCCCACCAAGTTCCAGTGATTGTACGAAGAAAATTGATTCTTTGTTGGCATTTTTGTTTCACATACGCAATATGTTTTCCCCATGTGCTTTTGGAATCGAACCAGACACCTAAATACTTGAAAGATATACTTTGAGTGATTGTTCTACCCTTTAGTTGAAGCTGTAGCTGTGCAGGATGATGCTTCCTAGAAAAAACAACCAACTCAGTTTTCTCCGGAGAGAATTCGATACCCAGCTTCATAGCCCAAGTAGACAAATTGTCTAAGGTATCTTGCAATGGTCCTTGCAGGTCCGGTGCACTTGGCCCTATAACGGACACAACGCCGTCATCTGCAAGCTGCCTTAGCGAGCAATTTTCATCAAGACAACCATCAATGTCTTTAACGTAAAAATTATAAAGAAGGGGGCTTAAACATGAGCCCTGGGGGAGACCCATGTAACTAATTCGTGAAGTTGTCGAGTTTCCATGAGAAAAGCTCATATATTTCTCAGACAACAAGTTGCTCAAATAGTTGTTCATAATTGGTGAAAGCCCACTATCGTGGAGTTTATCCGAAAGGACATCGATACAAACAGAATCAAAAGCCCCCTTAATGTCCAAGAAAACTGAACCTATTTGCTGTTTTTGCGCATAGGCCAGTTGAATTTCAGTTGAAAGCAACGCAAGACAGTCGCTCGTTCCTTTGCCTCTCCGAAATCCAAATTGCGTATCTGAAAGTAAACCATTCGACTCGACCCATTTGTCTAGACGAAAAAGAATCATTTTCTCCAACAATTTCCGTATACAGGACAGCATCGCGATGGGACGGTACGAGTTATAATCCGACGCGGGTTTACCGGGTTTTCGAATGGCGATAACTCTTACTTGCCTCCAGTCATCCGGAACAATGTTGTGCTCCAGAAATTGATTGAATAAGTTCAACAAGCGTCTCTTCGCGACATCTGGGAGATTTTTAAGCAAGTTGAACTTGATTCTATCCATTCCTGGAGCTGAATTGTTACATGAAAGGAGAGCAAGTGAGAA